AATTGTTTGAAATCATTTTTTAATATTTTAGGTGGTAAAACAAATATGGTAGAAAATAATATATTTGCTATAAAATATCTTTCGTAATTATAATTTGGTGGGAAAAAAACGACATAGAAGAAAATAATTTGTTCTTGTCGTATTATTTAATTCTTACTAATATCGTATTATTGAAAAATTTGTATTTTTATATTTGGAATCAGTTTTTCCTTAGGAACGATTTAGAAATTCATTTGTTAGAGATTTTATTAGAAATTTTATATACAAATTAATTTTCTTAATATTTCATGCATTTCTTATTAAAATTATACTCTACAAATGTTTTTTTTAAACGTTGGTAAAAATATTTTCGAACGTTTACAAGAAACATTTGCACAAACGATCGATCCATTACGACGTGTTCGATCTGTTAAATAAAAAAAATAAGGCATGTATAAACGTACGTTCATTTATCTGTTTTTTGTTTTGTTTTTCATCGTTTATCTTGTTTCCATCATTATCGATGAATGCAAATGAAAAAAACTAAATAAAATTAAAAAAAACGAAAAAGTACGCGTAATACGGAACAATATTTTTTTTTGTACTTATTTTCATGTAATTCTTCATTTTGTTTTTTTTTTTTTTTTTTTAATGTATTTTTCTTATGATCAATAAAGAAGACACCGACATAAACAACAACGATGAACATTATCGTTTTCATCGTTTTCCTTCAAACACCGACGTACCTTATTATTTCAGCTTTCCTTTTATTTGATTTCGACCGCAGCCATTCTGTTTTCTCTTCTCATTTTTCTCCTTTCTTTCTTCCTTCCTTCCTTCCTTCCTTCCTTTCTTTATTTATTTCTTTATTTATTTTTTATTTTTATTCCTTTTTATTAAGTAATTAATCTATACTTCCACACTTATTTTCTAACTTTGTTCATTCTAGATCAACCACATCTGTTTGTATGTATAGATATTTATTATAAGATATTAAATTACTTTATTATATTTAACAATATTTTAAACATTTACTGCTCGCTAATTTTTATAACAAAAAAGTACGATATACATACCTTTAATTACTAATACAAATCTTATAAAAGGTAGAATAATTGTCTGAATCGTTAAAATATATCAAAGAATGAAAAATTAAATAAAGTAAAACAAAATAATATAAATACAAAAATTAAAGAACATCTTCTTTCTTTACCCCCCCCCCTCCTCCCCCGTTCCCCGCCMCCAAAAAAGAGGATAGCCCAATTATATATCATAAATAATAAAAACAAAAAAAAGTCAACTTTTTTTACAAAATAAAATAATGATAAATAACAAAATAATGGAATAATAAAAAAAGTGATCCTAATCAAATGAAACATACTAAATTCGTGTAACAGTGAACATGTTTATTAGTACCTTTCTTGTACACACAATGTACGAGTTAATTAAATTGATCATAAGCGAGACAGATAATATGAGAGAACTCGTAAAAAATAATCTCTCTTTTTCTTTTATATATAAAGATATGTATATATATATATATATATATATATATCTTTTTATTTTTCTAGATTATTCGTAGTATGTCGTATACGTACAGAAATAAGAAAGAAAATGATCACGAATGAGATACGGCCACATATTTTGAGTTTACTCAAGAGAGAAAATATGTCACAGACTTCCATTTACATTCAAAATGATCTTCTTGGGACAGTTAAGTGGCAAGAGAGTTCATTCTTTTAACTCGTTTCAAAATATATATGTATATATATATATAAAAATTTTTTTCACCTATTTACTCGATCACGATAATTCTATATGCGTATATATATGTGTGTGTGTGTTGTTTCTTTTTCTTTTATTCAGTACGTGCATGTATCTTATTTTCGCACTCTTATTCTATATGTATATGTGTTCGTGTATATTTCTTCCTTACTCTAACCGTCTTTACTGTTTTTTCTTTTTTTCCATTTATTTTATCTTTAGATCAACTCATTATTTTCTCAAAACGTTCGTTCGTTCGTTAAACCAAAATATAAGCGCATTTCTTTTAAAATTCAATGCACTTTTGCAAATCCGTAACGCAAAACGTAACGACGAAAAAGATTTTCCTATTCTAGACGATTTTTTATTTTAATTTATTTTCCTCAAATCGTGTTCAAATATTAAAATAATTTTCCTTTAAATAATAGATCGAGATATAATTAAGATTTTTTGTTTCTTTTTTTTTGCTTTTACAAATTTCTAATAACTATACCGAAAATTTTTGACAACGGACGAATAAATGAATCTTCAAATCCTCCGTATATCCATGTCATTTTGAATAATTATTGAATTCTATATATAATTGAACAATTAATAATTATATTATTTTTTTCCACTAAATCAGAAAAATGGTAGGAAACGATTACGTTTCCTGTTTCACAAATGTTACTTCGTGATAGTATAGATGTTAAACTTGTTATGTTGAATATTTTAAACAGAAAGAAACAGAAAATGGATTTATTTCTATTAATATCGTTCGTTTTATTTTTTTTTATTTTTTGTTTAACTTCCGTTACATACATCGATCCGAATTTACTTTCACTTAATTTTCCATTTAATTATCTTTTCTCGTCACGCATATTTCTCTCTCTCTCTCTCTCTCTCTCTCTCTCTCTCTCTCTCTCTCTAATTAAATTTAGTATCATTCTTATGATTAATTTTTTCGTTATTCAGATTTAGTATATTATTTTTCATAATTTATTTTTTTTTATATTCTTTCATTTTTGTCTCGATATTGCATTTACAAAATTGTTCTTAATAAATGTTAAACGTTACAAAGAAAACTCTAGCTTAAATTAGAGTTAAATTAAAATGACGATTATCTAATTACTACCGACTTAAACGTGAGTAATTCAATTGATCGTTCTGTTGACTGACGCTAACAATCTTAATGACATTAGGTGAGAAAAGATAGATAATAACAATTGTGTCGATCGTAAAATTGAAATATAGAACGTTTAGAGAAAGTCCCTTCTTCTGTCACTTTCTTCGCTCAACGTAATACTACTGACCTCTCGATTGTGACATTTTTACACGTCACATCGAGAACGTTAATAATTATTATAATACACCCGTATGTACCTAACGCGCAAATTGTTTTAATTGTACGTGATATGATTTTTTTAACGAAATTTTATTGTCACGATCTCGTTCAACTTTCTTTCTCGTGACGTTTATGATTACCAACATTCATAATATAATATTATTCTTTAATAGTAATCTAATCCACGTTGTCGATCTAACAAATAAGGAAATAAATAAATCAATCAATTAATCAATTTTTATCGTTATATTTATCACATATAATTTTAAGCATTGTTAAATATCAAGATTTGAATGGAGTGGGATTTTGAAGGGGTAGGACATGTAAATTGGTTTTTTATTCTTTTTTTATTGTTATGTTTAAACTTTCTTAAATAATCTGAACATGAAAAAATGTTGGACAGAAAAGGAATATCTCTTAATAAATCGTGTTAACCTATTTAGTTTGTTCTGAATGGCAGGATTTCCTGTAGTAGTAGTAGTCTCGTATCTTCTTCAAAATAAACTAAAGTTCCTTCTTATACCTGGTATGTATGTACTTAAATACCTACATATGTACTACGCGTTACACTTTCGTGACGTTCTTTCAAGTACACCATAGTGTTACCGACACCTTTAAAGGTACACGGTTAAAGAGAATGAGAAAACCCATTGTTCATGAATAACAACTTAAGGCTTCGCACTTGAAGTTTTCGAGAACCGAATTTTTGAAAATAGGCTTAAAATGTTGATTGATTTTTAGACCTTTGCAAGGTTTGTTCTCATGACCTATGGCACTTAGAGTGCTGCAATTTGGTACGTAGGGATACTTTATAAGATACTTCGAGATTCTCAAAGTAGAGCAAAATCGATCGAACTCTCTCGAGAAGTCATTCGAGAAGTAATGGAATTGCTCATATATAAGACGCAATTTATGTAATATAAAGGTCAGATCTTTAATTTCGTTGAACATTCGTTATCAACGTTATCCTTATTCTTTTCAGTTTTCGTATAGATGCAACTTTACAGTTAGCTTCTTTTTCTTCTTCACTTTGAAGAACACAAACTGATTCAATGGATATAAAACCCGCTAACGTTCGTTTTATTTACGAGATAATAAAAACCCTCGTCCGGTTACGTTCACTTAACAATTTTCGAGAACGTTCAATATTTAAATATTCATCTAATCTTACGTTTAAATAGACACCAAGGTACCAAGAAAACAAGCAACCAAGCAAACGGTTCGTTTCTTTCTGTGAATATTTTATTCAACCTTTACGATTGAACGATCCATAATTTGTGTTTCTTTTTTTTGTTTTTTTGTTTTGTAGACAAGAGATAGATAAATAAAGGAGGAGGAAAGAAAGGGGATAAATAAAGTGCCAACTAGGATTATAGGTTGACGTCTGGTTGCACAGAGAATGCAACTTTTTGATGACGTTTTTACGATCGATACCAAACAGTTTTGCTTATGGTTGATTCTATTGACCTACTATACGATTCAATAGTTAACTATAATATTTTTTTAATCATAAATTTTACTTTTATATAATTTAAATCTACAATTGTCTTTATTAATCTATTTTTATAATTATTTATCATATCATATCATATAATATCACGACATTAATACACAACTTAACCGAAAAAATAATAAAAATCTAATATAACTTTACCTAATATACTCCTAATAATATAATTATTCTAATTTCCTACCTACTAACATAAATATTATTATATATATTTATACAATAATAAACCAGCTACGTGTAGTTTGTAAAATTTAATTAACAAATCGAGTATTATAAAACGAATATAATTTTTCATTCAAACAAAAAACAAAATTGACAATACGGTGCACTACAAATTTCATACTTGTCAACCCAATGTGTGTGTGTGTGTGTGTGTGTGTGTGTGTGTGCGTGAAAATTTAACGAAATATTTAAACCTTGTACATGGATAATCCATTGCACGATACTTCGAAAGTAAGATGAAACCATTAAGGAAGCTCATCAAGACAATTAGAAGTACTTAACTCGCATAAACTGCGAAAACGTTTTCTCGGTTAAAAGCAACCAACTACGCGTGTCATTCCATTCCATTCCGTTCCGTTTCATTCAATTCAATTTCTCAATTAAAGAATGTTCAACAGAAATGTGCGTTCTTTTTAACTTATTTTATAAAGTCATACGAACATTTTTTGTAACATCGATATTTGTACGAACATATTATTTAATAATATTCAATTAATGTAATATAATATATTGATATAATTTAATTGTATACTTAATCAAATAAAATTACGAAATGATATTTTTAAGTTACATTCATTTACTGGACACGACCGGTTGTAAATAAATAAGTAAATATTTATTTATTTGATTAATTTTTATTAAATAATTAAATAATAGAAAAAAGAATGACACGGTATTACAAACGCGAAGGTTATTCTCATAATAAACTCGAAGTAACTCATTGTCGAGGTAACTCATTGTAATACTGAAAAATATCACGTAGAAAATGATGAAAAGAAGTTGTGTGTGTATGTGTCTTTCAGATCGACCTGATTTCCTATTCTATTTGCCTTTATGAACTAAGAAATAATAGAAATGAATTATAGGAAGGCCATGAATCTAACGCATTAGCGTGCTTCACAAATGAAAGTATTTACGAGTTCAAGAAAAATACATATATACATATAAAGAAAAAGAGAGATAGAGATAGGTATATGCAAGGACAAATTAAAGTATAAAATTTTCTTAGAATTCGTTTAAAGTGATGTGAAAAAATTACCAAGTATAGTATTCTCTTCCTTTAAAAGAAAAAAAAAGAAAAGAAAATTTGTTATAATTATCTAACAATTTCTTGATATTGATATGAAATTATGCTTGAAGATATTATACTCGTTATTAGATAGGATTAGTTTCTATCATTCATCAATCGATTAAACTTAGAATTAGGTATATATATTTAACGAGGAAGTACTATATAATCTTTTGGTTATTTTTATTATTATTAAATTTTTTGTTTATAATGATAGTTGGATTGATTAAACGTAAGATTGATAAACTAAAACAAATAATCTACTTAAAAAAAAAAATGTCAATGTAATTTGCAATAATCTGTCAGAACCAAAAATTAAATATTAATCATAAAAAATATAATACATCTAAACAAAAAAAAAACAAAAAAATCTCCACGATAATTTTCATACCTTTGATAAATTAAATTATTTTAAACAACGTTACGTTCAATTAATTGATCGATTAAATTAATTATTTATTATTTATTTGTGTGTGTGTGTGCGCAATAATTTCAATTGTTAAAATAGAAAAGAAAAAATATATTGACTCTAATGATAATATTCCGCCTTAAATTTTTTAATGTAAAAATAAACCAACTATCAAACTGTAATAAATTATTATAAAAACAAAAAAATTCTTGCGCAAAACGTGATTAACTAGACAATCAAAAACTGGATGCCTTATAAAGTCATACGTAATCATAGGTAATTACCATAATGACACGACAACGATCTCAACGTACTTTTATAAGAATAATTTACGGATACGTTGATTAGTGAGAAACATAAAAGGATAGATGGGAACAATTAACGCTAACCAAATTTGGTATCGTCGTACGATACTTTTCCATCGATTACGACCATAAATGCTTTCACTTCTTACTCATGCTCCTTACACGAAAAAATTATCAAAAGTTCGACTTTGTTTTAGATTTTTTTTTCATTATTAATATTTTTATTATTATACTTCGCTTTTAGTTCTTTTTCGAATAACCGTATATTCACCCAAGCAAATCTCTTTCAACTGTATTAATGATATTATACGCAAAAAGAAAGTATAGTACTCGCGGGAGATTGAATTATGTGTTCCACGATTCATTCGTAACGTTTCTTTGACGTTTTCTTTATTTTTTCTTTTTTTTTTTATATCTTTGTAAAATCTTGTTCATTCCAAAGTGTCGTAGCAATTTGATTTTTTTTTGGGATCGTTGTTACATGGTATATGTACGGTTATATAATTTTACGAGGGTGGTTTAAAAAATTGATAATTTTGGATAAGAAAAAAATACTTTTATTTTTATTTATTTTGTTAAATAAAAGATTAGTTCGATCGAGGAAAATGAATTGTTGACCCGTTGCAAATGACCTTTGCAAACATTTATTTATCGCATCTCCTCTCTCCATCTGTGTTTGCATTAATATACAACATACTACGCGAAAAGATAATATAAATATAATTAATATATCTTAATATAATAACTCTCTTATTATTACATTCAAAATTTGATTATTATTATTCTCTACGATATTACGTAAAGCTCGTAAATTATTGTTGAATAATTATTTTTAATAATAATTAAATAATAACTATATATAACTTACTATTATACTTTGTTGAAATGTGTTCCAAAAGGAGTAGTTAAGAAGTACGTTTATTCATAGGATCCAGTGCATTCTCGTTAATAAACACGCGATCTTATGTAGAACATGTTGGTTAACATTTGTCGCATGCAGTTAACCCATTTATCATAGCTAATTTGTGTTTAATTTTTGATACGAAGAGAAATTAAGAGAGGTGGAAAGGATTCACGGAACAACAACAACACGACTGACAAACGACCCTATGCGTATCTACTTATATACATATATAGGATATATACATACATATATAGGATACACGTATATGTAATTTATATATAATCGTGTCGGTATTTAAAATTGGTGCGGTTGTACTTTTCAGATTGATTATATTAATTATCATTATTAACATTTGTACTTTACTATCCGATTGATTTTATGTTTTTCATCATGTACAAATAATAACGCGTTCATTATACCAATAAATATCATGTGGACAAGACTTTAGGAGGAAAATTATACTAAATATTAAACAGTGAATAAAATTCAAATTTTGACTCGTCAAAAAAGTAAATTGACATATACAAAATGCTTTTAAATAAAGTTTTTTGAATACAAATTTCTTAATAAACGGACATTTAATAAATTAATAATTTAATTAATATCTTAAACATAAATCATTTTATCGACCAATTAAAGAAGTCGTTTAAATATAACAGTTAATCGATCAAATATAAACAAAATTATATATGAGTTGTTTAAAGGAAATGAGAATACGAGTAACGTTCATTTTAAATTTGTCAATTCGACAATTGTGTTAATTTTTGTTTTTCAAATTGCGGCCAATTTGTTTACATTCATATATCAAAGTAATAAATCAAATTAATTGCTACACCTAATAATAATTATGTACTTATCTCAAATTTAAAAGAAAAAAGGGTTACTCGTATCCATTTTTCTTTTGAACCTACACTCATGTATGCAAAAAGTTAACAATAAATTAAAAAATATTTTCTTTTGGTAAAGGAAAATAGACGAAGGAGAAAGATACACTTCTAGATCTTAAAATTCTAATGGTCTTAAATTGTATTCGTTTTGAAAAAGAATCGTTAACGTGGTTAGAACCCACGACGAAAAAATTGTCCCACTTTTCTATGATACTTTAGGTATATATATATTCTTTTGTTAAAGACTCACAACTAGACCGCGTTAGGGAACACAAAAGAATGAGTCTGCGAATTGTTTATTATTCGAGACCATTCTTTCTCCATCTTTCTTCTTTTTTTTTTTTATTAACTTCTAATCTTTTTAAACATATTATCATTCATCTATTTCTTTGCCAGATTCGTAGCATAACGCGAACACAAGAATTGTATTCTCTCTTTTTGTTAAACATTTCTATTTTTCTAATTCAATAACACGTTACGAATATAATAATAAAAATAGTCAAAAATATTAAAAGCGAATCTAAAATTATTTCAATTTAAACACTTTTGTCGACCTTTTGAAAATTACCAAAAAAAAAACAAAATTAGAAAACAATTGTGTGGTTTTTTTTTTAATTAAATCATAAATCTTTTTTATTATTACGTATACATATTACATTAATTTTGTATTATTTAAACAATATATTTATAAATATAAAAATACAGATTTGATGATTTTAAAAAAGCTAACAAAAAATTTGAATTTAACAAATTTATATATAAAAATATTTTTCTATTATTACTATTAGCATGTCACTAAAAACAAAAAATCATAATTATTATAAATATTTCGTATATTGCGAGATACTAAGAGAAATTTATTAAAAGAAGTTATTAGAAGGAAAATAGAATTCTTGAACGAACGACATAAACTCAATCGTTCATTTTCTCGACATGCCGTTCCCATCATTTATGGAAAATAAGAAAAGAAAGTAGAAAAAAACAGAGAGAGGGAAACGAATCTATGGTCGTCTTTGTTCAAATCGCAAGTTGATTTATAACTTCCGTAAAGGCCACTTTATTGTCATTGCACGCTACCATACCACTTAAAAAGTGGAACAAACAAATACTTAAATCAATTAAATATTAACGCTGATAAACATTTAGATATTTTATAACAAACATTTTTTTTGGTTTCTCTTTTTATCGACATTATTGCGTAATGTTATCCGAGTATTATACGAGTAAATAAAATTAAATACAACGGAAATATATATATTATGTGTGTGGTTGTATATAATAGGACGAAGTCCTAGCAATAAGAAGGAGAAGAAGAAGAAGTGTGTGGTTGTCTTTATTATTTTTATATATTCTCAACCCGTATATATATATATAAAATGAACTTAATTATACTCGTACAAGTGAAAGATGTAATTGTGAAAAAGAAATTGTCATCTGGTTAAACAAGAACGAATCAATGATACGTAAAATAAAACGAAGGAATTTTCTACTACTTTGACGTTCGTAGAAACGAGAAAGAGAAAACATTGTTTCCTTAATTGAAATTAAATTAATTCTTTCAAAACTTGTTCTAATATCAAAAACACGCGCGACGAATCATTCGTTTAGAAATTGTTTTCATCAAAATGTATATTCTAGTTTTACATTAATTGTTGTTTGTTTTCAGGAAGAATACGTAGCGGAAAATATACGATGGACACCCATAGAATATTTTAACAATGCAATAGTAGTTGAATTATTGGAAGGTAAAAGACCACCGGGATTATTTTTGGTATTAGATGACGTTTGTGCAACGCTTCATGGCAGTAGTACTGGTGCTGATGCTGGTTTACAAAAGGTTATACACGTTTTACAAATATTTGTATGTATAAATATAAATACATAAAATATTAACACATTCGCAGCGCCGGCAATTTATTTCCATTTCTAATACTGAGTATCGGCGAAAATAATGAAATTCTGAAGCTGGTTACCGCAAACTTCTCTATCGTTAAAGTAAGGATAAAAATAATAAAATTTATTTTGAAATCTCAATGTTGCAATTATGTATTGTTTAATTTTGCTCTAGATTCTCCAATACAACGTAAAATCGAAATGAATGCGGAAAAATTCCTATCGAAACTAGGTCTCGCCGGGTTCAATCATTGTTCACACATATTTGCAAATAGATATTGCATAAATTATATATATCACTATGTTTGTAAAGGTTTACAGAATCTGCTGCCATGATTAGAAATTGTTTATCGTTAATTGTCGCGCTGCAAATATGGTCCAAAGTTCAAAAAAGTGTGAATTTTCAAAATTGATTTTCTTAAAAATTAGAGCTGATAGAAAAAACGGTTTGCATATTTGGAATCAGAGCGCCCAGTATACCCAAAATCAGCTCTAAGATTGCAAGCACCAAAATTCTTATTATGCTGTGTTATTAAAAGCGCCTAATGTTGATGCATTCAGAAACAAAAATTTCAGGACCGTGAATTCACGTCAGCAGCCACGAATGTGTTAAAATAATTTATATAAATATAAATATATAAAATAAATCTTAGGCTTTATAGATAAAGAAACAATTAAATTCTACACAAAATTAGTAGTTAAATAAAAATAAAATAGAATTCGGAATATAAATGGGATAAATAAAATGAATTAATACACGGGACTTTCCGAATAAATTTGAATAAAAATAAATGAATGAAGTGAAAATTATTTGGAAAAAAAAAAAAAAAAAAAAAAAAAAAAAAAAAAAGAAAAAGAAAAAAAAACAAATATCATTTAAATTTATTCAAATGTTTATTATTATAATATTATTATTATTATTACTAATCGTATTACAGAAATTGACGATTGCAGCGAACCAGCACGCGCACTTTCAAAATACAGCCGAAGGTTTCGCCATTCTTCACTATGCCGGAGTCGTATCCTACTCGGTCGATGGTTTCTGCGATAAAAACCGTGACGTACTTTTCCTAGACTTGATAGAACTGATGCAGACGAGTACAAAGTAAGAAATTACGAAAAGAAATACATCTTTACTATGGTTAGATGATACAAGCGTATTATTCACTAGCATTAACTCATTGTTAGAGAAAAAAGAAAAAATAAAAAATATAATTTCTTCTAATAGCATGCATGTATACATATATATATGCAGTTACGTATAGGCGATGTTTCATTTAACTATAATACTTCAAATATCTTTATTATTTTAAATAATACGAAGAAATGAAAATCATATTTTTGTTTTGATCGATGGAAAATTTTCAATGAATTTGATTAAAAGTATCGAAGTTGTTTGAAAAATATAAATTCGTTAATATTTAAATGACCTTGAATCAAAATTCAACGTTTTATAATTAGTGAAAAATATTAATGAGTTAAAGAGATTAACTTAACTTTTAATATATTTTTTTTAATTTTAATATTAAAGCACCTATGATTAACCTATTTTACACTTATCGTACTATATACGTTACAGTTCATTCATAAAAATGTACTATGCACTCGTTGAATTTATGAATATGCACGAACCCACTGTACCATATATGAAACGGACGATTTCCAACATTCTTGCATAAAATTTACTTTGGGGGAATTTTTTTCTGATGATTTACAAAATGTCCCAAATTATATTTATAACGAAAATACCAAAAAGAATTATTATTAAATTAGTAATTATATATTAGGTCAGTCTATAAGTTCGTGCGCATTTTTGCGAAATTTTTAAATAGTGTAATGCACACGTACTTTTGGTCTGACCTGATAGATCTAAATGGTCAAATGCTAAATTTATTTATATAAATATTTTGTTAATGTATATATATATTAAAACTCCAATGATAAAAATCTTGATGAACTTACATATAACAAATGATAATATGTCAATTTACTATAATTATATTAAAATCATTTGATTAATATTATGAAACTAAATTTGTTTCAATAATTAGACTCCAAATTTGTATGTCAATTTGGGTCTACTTTTTTATTTTCTGAAATTAATCGATTTGATAATTGAACGTCTCGTAAAAGTGTGGGAGTGATCTCTCCTGTTTCTCAGTATTGCTGAGAACGAGAGAATAATGATATTAAACAAAAAAAAGAAAAAGTGACAAAGCGAAGAAAACTGGAAGCAACGAAATAGGATTTAGCTGACTTTTTTTACCGACATCATCCTATGTTGTTTGTTAAGACAATGGGGGGATTAAAATGGTGTATACTTGTAAATCCAAAAAGAAATTTACATCATTCTCATTCTCAGCGAGTTTTCTTACAATGAATTTGTAGCAATAGAAAAAGAAAACAATATATATATATATATATATATATATATGCAGTATTGAAAGGTTTTAATTAACAAGTTCACCAAATAGTCATCACATTTTCTTCTTCTTCTATATTAAAAAACCTTCACGAAGATTAATTAAATATACATTTGTTTCAGCCCTTTGGTACGTAATCTTTATCCACCTGAAAGAGATATTTACAAAACGAAGACATTACAAAAATCTCGGCCAACAACGGCCGGAAATAAAATAAGAACTCAAGCAAGCCGTTTGGTTGGACAATTAATGAAGTGTACGCCGCATTACATTCGTTGTATAAAACCTAACGAAACGAAAAAACCTAGGGATTGGGATCAGGTCAGAGTCAAACATCAGGTAAGATTTATTTAGATAATAAATGCTTCTAATAATTGAATTTTTCTTTAATGATAATATTTCATTGATGTAATTTATCAACGTAAAATCAACGTAAAATCAACGTACACGTATACTATTTTAGGTCGAGTATTTAGGTTTAAAGGAAAATATCAGAGTACGCAGAGCAGGATTCGCTTATCGAAGACCATTCGAAAAATTTCTTCACAGATATGCGATTCTGACAAAAGAAACCTGGCCACGTTGGACCGGAGACGAGAAACGTGGCGTGGAATACATACTTGGAAGTATTAGCATTGATAGATCGCAATATCAACTTGGAAGATCCAAATTATTCATCAAGGCACCCGAAACGGTAAATCCATCGAAGATTAATCGATTTAATCTGTTTAGATAAAATGGATATTTTTTAGTTTAACAGTCTTAACCCTTTTAATACTGAATACACTTTAAGCTGAAGTGTTTAGTAAAAAAGAAACTAAAAAAAGTGTTTAGTAAAGACGGAATATTTTATCACTAGTATGTTTGTTTCGTGTGATTGATTTTACTAATAACATCTAATATAATAAATTATATTTAATAATTAAAGTTTTCTTTTGTTTCTCTTATATACATAATTTTAATGCGACATGATTCAAAACATAAAACAATATTACATTATTTGCATTTATATTGACAAACACGTATACGTGTTAATAGTTTACGCTGAGAAATGTAATCAAGCGCATATATGCATCTATATAGCACTCAAAGGGTTAATCGATGATATATCCAATTTATTGATCATCATTGTATAGATCGTCAACGATAATTAAAACGCTTATTACGAAAGTAAATTATAAATTAATTTTTGAAAAAAAAAAAGAAACATTTGTAACTAATAATAATAAGTATAAATATAATTTGGATGTTTTAAATTTGTAATTAATGTCATCAATTATTAACTTGATGATTATAAAATGAACTTTGCAGCTTTTCATGTTGGAAGAAGCAAGGGATCGAAAATACAATTTGTACGCGCGAATAATTCAAAAAGCGTTTAAAAAATATTTCACGCGAAAGAGACAGGCCCAACAAAAACAGGAAGCTGCCGATTTGTTGTTCGGTCATAAGGAACGGAGACGGGCAAGTTTGAATCGAAACTTTGTGGGTGATTATATAGGAATGGAGGCCAAACCATTGACGATGAATTTAATTGGCAGAAGAGAGAAGGTCTTATTCGCAGAAATTGTTAAGAAATATGACAGAAGGTTTAAGGTGAGAATATAGCAAAACAACTATTCTTTTTTCTTATACTTCTCCGTTTTCTCATTATTCAGTTACGGATAATAATGATAATGATTAAGAAGAGGAGGAAACGTTTCTTTCGTGACTTAGGTATTAACAATCTTAAATAATTAACATTGTTTTATATCTAATCGCAGTTATGCAGAAGAGATCTTTTGCTTACCGGTAAATTCCTATATTTGATTGGTCGTGAACAAATCAAAAAGGGTCCTGAAAAAGGTAAAACCGTGGAAATAATCAAAAGAAAATTATCATTCGAACAAATAAGTTACGTTTCATTGAGCACGCTACAAGATGACTTCGTTGTAATACATACTAAAGAGGATTATGCTAGTCTATTGGAATTAGTCTTCAAGACGGAATTCTTATCCTTGTTAAGTAAAAAATATATGGAAGAAGTTGGACACGCTTTGATAATAAGATTTAATAATAAGTTAGTAATGTACTTTTATATATATATATATATATGTATGTGTGTACGAATATCAAGGAAATGATTCATATAATATTATCTTTTACAGTATAGAGTACAAGGTTAAGAAAGAGGGTTGGGGTGGTGGAGGTACGAGACAATTAATATTCAATCAAATCGATTATAGTGATAAGGAAATATTGAAATCAAGTGGAAAGATCTTGAATGTTAGTATCGGACCAGGTTTACCCAGTACTACTAGTAAGTATTTTCAATTGAAACAACAAAATTCTATATATATTATCATTAAAACGTATAATTCTATTATTTGATAGAATAATTAGACATTTCACGAAATAAAGGAGCGTTTTCGGGAAAACCTATAATAAAAATTTTATTATAAACTTTAAGCAGCTATTCTATGAAATAACGGATTTTACGTTTTAACGTTAACACAAACATATTTTAATTATTCATAAACTAAATCGAAATAAAGTTTAAATAATATTGATAAAGTTACGTCGATAGAACACAATTTGTATAAATATAAATAATGTTAATAAAATTTATTTGTATAATTTAGAACCAAATCCGAATAGATCGACTACCATGAATTTTCATACGATTTACAAAGAAAATACTAACAATTTTCAAAGTTCTCGTAATATTGGGAAAACGGTCAATCAAATGAGTCAAATGAGAACAATAGAAAATACGGATCGTGGAGGAAACGATCAGACTTGTTCGATTAGATCGAATATCTCAACTAGAACTCCTGATTTACAACCTATCGCAGCTACAAGAAACGTTAATACTAACACGTTGAATACCGTTTCTAATGGTAGACCAAGCATACCACCTAATCGACCAAATATTAGGCCAACGCTATTTCAAAACAGTACCAAAGATACTACTACTAAGAGTACAAATAAACAACCCAACAAATTGCAGAGTTCAATCACGATGATGGGAATGTTCACGAATCCTGGTGGTGGTCCACGTGGTAAATAAAATAAAATAATAATAATAATAATAATAATAATAATAATAATAATAATATTTTTGGGAGAATATTTTGAAGATAATAATATTATATCGAATAATATGACATTTTTAGGTTTGTTAAAATTTCCCCCACCACCAACGGACCCACCACCGATGCAAGATAACACAAGATACTCGTCTGGATTTAAATTACCTCCGTTAAATACTAAAGAATATAACAATAATAATAACAAGGATCAACATTTTTTAAATAGTAGAATAAAACGTATCGAAGGTGGTGGAGCTAGTGCTAAAGATATAAATGTATCACGTAATACGGTTAATCCTAATCAAATGCGTCCGCAAAAACCACCTCCACCAAATTTACCTAAGGTCAAGGCAATTTATGATTACAGCCCACAAGATCTCGATGAGCTTACATTAAAGGAAGGTGACGTAATCGAAGTAATCAAAGAACGTAAGTTAAAAATTATAACATAATGATGTACTCAAACATGAACCATAATCCATGTATCCATGTATGTGTATTTTTTTCATATCATCGTATACGTATTAACTACGTATAAAATTTCTTTTTCCTCATTTTGTTTTTACTTTTCTTTCCAGACGAGGGTGGATGGTGGCACGGAAGACTGAAAGGAAAAACTGGCCTTTTTCCTTCGAATTACGTAGCAAAAGTGTAGAATATTAGCTGAAATTAAATTCAAATCTAATCGTTAGTAAATTTGTATAAGAAATAAAAAACTATTATCAAAAAAAAAAGAAAATAGAATAATACAAAAGTCCGAAAAATATCTCACGTCGTTTTTCTATTGGAATTTTTAGTGTAACGAATTAGAATTTAACGTTCTCATTATCAACGAAAGAAACGTAAACTATAAAAAGAGTGTATGAAAATTGTTCATCGTATACTATTATTACATTGTTATTATCACTATTATTTTTATTATAATTATTATTATTATTATTATTATTATTATTATTATTATTATTATTTGATTAATATATGTCGCGTGTAGAAAGTAGTGATTTATTTACCAAAATGCATTTATACTTTGTTGCTATAATAACCATGATTTATTAATTGCTCTGTTTTTGCCCTAAATGATGTCGATATCGTTCTAAAGAATTAAATGAATAAAATAAACGTAATTTAAAATATATCAAATATAAATAACTTGGCAAAATTGCTGATATAGAACGGTGATAAAATAATAATACATCTACGAAATGACTTGTAAATATATACCTAAAGATATATATATTGGTAGAAACATGACAGCCTCGAAAAATCCAAAGAACCTATTATATAATAAGCTTGTTCTTCGTGATAAATATTCGTAAATGATCTTTTTATATTCCGCGAAAGATATGTCACATTATAATTCCATTGCGTAATAATTTAATAAAATGTTAATAAACGGATATAAATTTTCGCCAATCATGCAATCAGATATTACTATTATTTTTCTGATATTATTACTTTTGATATGCAAACAAATAAAATGAATCATGCATGTTTATTGTGCTAATGCGTTAGAAAGAGAAAGTATATATATACATATATATAAATATTTATATATTATATACAGGTGAGTCGAGCTAACGTTAATATCTTTGTTTCTTTTTTTAAGATACGTCAAATATCTTAAAGAAAAAATTGAATGGTTCAATGAAGCTCACACGATGCAAAAAATATTTATATTTTTATCTCATTAAAATTGTCAATATGCTTACGTGTATCTCCAAAATTTGCAAATGCGTGTGTTCCTTCCTTTGATTTTATTTTATTTTATTTTATTTTATTTTATTTTGTTTTCTTTTCTTTTCCTTTTTTTTTTATTGCATTTTATTCAAATAATAAATATACGACATTATGTTGCGTTTTTGTTCACTCATACAAACTATTTTCACAATTAACATTGCAACCAGCAAATTAGTTTTAGCACTTATCAACTATATTTAAAGCATTGGCAATAATTATGTTTCATTTTGTTATAAAACTAATGTACTTACAATAAGACATAAAATAAAATAAATCAATATTAACTCATATATATAAGTAAATAGTTTGAAAGAATTATTATTCCTATACGTGTGAGATAAACTTATAACTACGTTATCGCATATTCATCCGATATTTTTTACTTCATCTTTTTTGTTTTGTTTTTTTTTTTTTAAAATCAGCAAATTACAATGATCTTATACTTATAAACATATTTACGTGTAGCAATCTTAGGCACTGTAATAATAAATTATTATTGCATAAATATTTTGTTCGGCATTTTGAATTTATCTTCTCATTAATTATCCATCAACGTGAGCATATAATAAAAAAAAATTATAATATAAATAATCATTGTGTATTCAATGTATATTATAAAAAAAAAAATGAAATTTTTATTGCATTTTCACGTAACATCGTTTAATCCTAGCAACGATATCTTCTGTTAAACATTTAATAATAATAATAATAATCATCATTATTTCGTTCAGTCGTTAAATATATTATCAAGAAGATCTTGCCTATATAGGACATATTATTATAGCATGATTATTTACATATTCAATTTCATGTAAGATATATATATGTATATAATTTAATAATAAAAAAGCAAACTCAATCTATTATGCCTTGATAAAAAGTTATTTAAAATATAAATATAAAAAATAAATTCATTAGGTTTTTTATTTTTTACATAAGCATTAGTTTAAAAAATATAATATATATATATATATATATATTGAAACCACGAAATGAGATCAAGCAAGGATTTGGTTTCTTCCAATCAAATTACGAGGATACAGAAGAGATCGCATTACAGATTTTTCGTTTTCTTTTTCATTATGTTTAAATGTTAAATATTTATAATCCTACTTTTTACATTACGTTATCAGACATACGTCAAATATTACATCATTTTTTTTTTGCCATTTTCATGCTTCACACTAAACAATTATCAAATATTAGATTATTATTATGAATGTTATTATATTATTATTATTATTATTATTATTATTATCATTATTATTATATCGCATAAAAGACATTTACTTAAATAACAGAAAATTAAAATATATAATATTTTTCATTGAGAAACCCATTGCCGCACACTTTTAATTTGATGATCGCGCTCAGAAACACAATTTTTTTTATTTCGGAGTGATAGGGCATGTGAAAAAGCATAAAAAAACAATTAATACGCTGTCTGGCATGCTGTACCTTTTTTTTTAATGAATTATTCAATAATTAACAAGTGTATGCGTTAGTACACTTCGTACTATATTCGTACTATACTTTTTTTATTAATTAAAATGGGCACGACGGCTATAGCCGTCATTTGCGGCAACAAGTTAAAATTGAATTTTAAATTACATCGATTAGTGTATTGGATATTATTCTCACCGTGATATTTAATAATAATAAAAGAAACATAAATTATTACGAATAATCTTGAATCGTGATTGTGGTTTTCCGTATATACAAAAGTTAAACAAAAAAGAACCATTTTCGTTCAATGTTTCGAAAGGTGAATAATTATATTCGTTAATGTGAAAAAACATTAGGCCAGATGTGAATCTAAAATAAAATTTCCGAAATGCGTCATGCCTTGATGATAAAATAAATATTGTAAAAATATAATTAAATGAATATCGTGTAATATTATATGTAAACAAATATTCCGTATAGAAAATAAGAATATTGAAAGTACTTATGAAAATGAATATAACTTTCACATTTTTTTTATTTATGAATTAATTATTCTAAAATTATAAACTATAAAAATTGCACACACCATAAATAGCAACTAACACCTTATGTTTTATTTTTGTTTTTTTTTTTTTCGCTTTTTTTTTTAGCAGCAGCATGGTCAAGCATGTATGTGCATAAGTTTTCTTTTCTTTTTCGTTCTCGTTTCCTTTTATATAAAATCTGTAATGTCCATATGGCACAAGTGTAGAGTGTATATGTAGTAATTGATGAATTTAATTTTAGTCTTTATATATATGTTATTCCCATTAAAATATCTCCTTTATATCTTATCAATTAGCAAAGGTAAAATTTCAATTGTAAAACATTGCTGATAATGTTTCCTATAAATATATCTGGATTAATACCGTTGTTTTTTACTATGAATTTATTTAATGATAAATTTTTAATTTTTATTTCTTTTTTTTTTTAAAGAGACCGTTCTTACACGTGACATTCAAAGAGAAGATTAATTAGCTTTCTTTTTTTACATATTAGCATATTCTAGTAATATTTGATTAAATTGGATGAGAATTAAGTAATGATAAATCTATATATATGTTTATTTATTCGAATTTTATAAATTACCTAAATTGAAGGAAATAAAATTAAAAAATCATTTCATTTTTCATTCATTTAAAAAATGATTATCTGAACGAGATCAATTATAAATGAAACCATTATTTGCAAACACCTATTGCTTTACAAATCCATAATAATATAACCGTTATAATTTATACATTTTCTTTCATATAAATATAATGATAATTAATGAATTCTAATATATTCAATGGGAAATAAATTGAAATTAAAACATATTATAACACGTACGTATTATAAATACACGTTATCTATGATAAAACAGAATGTGAAAGACTTATAGATTATTATTATTATTATTATTATTATTATTATTATTATTATTATTATTATTATTATTATTATTGCTCGAATGAAAAATATTGAAAGATCTACACTGGACAATTTTTATTTTCTTTGGCAACTCCACATGTAAACGAATATAGTGGTGCCTGTGTAATGCATACATTTGCATGACTCGTGACACCGTATATGTGTAACATTTCTTATTGCTTATATTACTGCTATACTAGTTACTTATTATCGTTATCTTTTTTTTCTTCTTTTTGTTCTTTCTCAAAAATATCGCATATACTGTACTAACTTGTTTTACCTCGTGAACTTCTAAAAAAAGAATTCCAACGACGACAATTGTTAAATCGGATACGTTCATTGTACGACACAATTTTTATTTCGTTGAGCTAATCCTGCTCTTGACAAATCTCGTTCTATCTCATCGTCATCCTCGATACTAATGAAGGAAAATATTTGTTTTCAAAATTTATTTTCGATAAAAGTTAATCGTTTATTAATGCAATAATAAAAAAAAATTATGAAATAAAATTTGACTACTCACGCTCTTTCTTGAGTATCAAGATGATGTACCAATTCATCTCTTTTGTTTACAATTGACACTAATTCTTCGAGTAATAAATTTTCACGCATCTTTTGTTCAGTCGTTTTTCTCCAATCTTCCACAGCGAGAATGCTTCTTAATTCGCGATTTAAAAGTTCGAAACGGTGTTCTAAATCATCTTCTTTTTCTCTGTAAATAGATACGACGATATCAATACTGTATTAATTTATAAATATATATAGGAAGAGAAGTAAACTTACAATATATTTAATTGCATTTGCCTTCTCAATAAAGCATTTTTCTTATTAACAAGCGTAAACCACAGAGACATCAGTCTTTCAGTTTCATCTTCATTATCACTTTCCATGGCAGCTCTAAGTTGTTTCTCAAGTTTACCAGCTTGTATATCTATCTGAGTTTGTTCTCTCTCTAAAGCTTCAAGCTCGTTTTGAATATATGACGTCATATCTTTACCCAACTAAATATAATTCCAACATTTATTCATTTAATTGTATATTAGTTTTTTATTTATTATGTTTTAATATTCATGTTATTTAATTTTGA